CTGGCTCTTTTTCCTGCAGCTGATTTCAGTGGAGTGTGCAGAAGGAGCCCTGTCAGGACTCACTGTGCTGTTAGGTCTTACCTGTTGCTTTTGCTCAAGAGCCAAATTTTATCTTGGTTTGACTTGCATAAACTCTTAAAAGAGGGGCATTTTGTATAACATTATTCATAAGTTTTTCTTCCCTTTCCCTATGGTACTTATTCTTACTTAATTCTCTCTTTTATATTAATTGATCACATTATCTCCTCAGCTTGATGGTGTGGGAGCTTTCCTGTACTACTAAAAATTGAACATATAGTTGAAAGATTTCTGTGAATCATGGCAATAGCCTTTTCCCAGTTTTCATTATTTGGCTTAGGTACATCTATCTTTATTAAATGCATCATGCTGTGCTACCTGTAATTATAGAAGGCATAAATCTCACACATACTGCTGTTTGTATGTTCTGTAATGTAAGTAGGTCTGGAAATGCTGCAGTGTCACTGCAAGGTGCATCAATTCTACCACCTGATAACTGTTACAACAACTAATTAAAAGAAGATAAATTAACAATTTAGATGTTTTATTTGCAGTGTCCTACTAGAGGAGCAGAAAAGGACATAAATATTCTTTATAGATAAAGAATGAGATGAGTTGTTATTATAACAGTGTTATAATTTTATTTTAATTTAACTGTGTTTATTTCTAGTATTATATGGTTATATAAGAAGTTTTTGAAATGTCCACAGAAATATTATTGAGTCATTGCTGAGATAAGTAACATTTACAGCTGCCTAAATTTAGACTGTTCAACCCTGTTTGTGAAGCTCCTCATCTCTGGAAGGTTGCTTGATATTTCTCAGCTAATGGAAATGTCTTTAACACTAGCAGTGAGATAAATGGGACCAGCTAAATGCTGCTCAAAATCCATGCAGATTTACCTTTGTCAGCTATGCTTGGAAGAGATGTGTAACTGTCAAAGGATCTGCCTGGCAATGTATAGGGATGGGATTATGCAGATATGTCTCTGCTTGTTGCTAAAGGTTCACAAGGCTCTCATGAGAATAAAGTATAAAGAAAACCATTGATGTGCCAGCACAAAAATCAAAGAATAGTCCAATAACAACCACAACAAGGAGAAGCAACTACAATAGGCAGAGTAACTAAAGAGAACAATTGTAAACCTTGTTACTGAACAGAGAGACTAAAGGATGAGTGAAAATAATAGTTTCCAGGGAATATAGGAATATTGATGTGAATAGGAAACAGCTCCTGCCAGGATTTGTCACCAATTACTTTTTCTCTATGCTGTAAGGGAGAACCCTATTGCTCTATTTAATTATTCAGAGCTATGATATTGCTGTTCCTAGTTTCTTCAGAAAGGGCTCAGAAAAAAACCTTAACCTTTCTAGAATACCTATGTATGCAGTAAATTAAACAAGCTGTTACCTCTTGGTATGATGTGAAAGATGTTGTCAAATAAATTCTTTTTATTCAGATTTTCATTTTAATTAGGTAGCAAAAAAAAAGACAACCAGCTCTTTTGACCATATATTGACCATATATATCAGTAATATTGTACATTTGGTGACAACAGCTGCAGAATTTGGTGTCCTCTCTAGGTCTACTTTACTTTATATGCCAAATAGCATCATACAGCCAAGCCAGCACATTCAAAGCATGCCATCATTTAATAAGTTTTCTTGAAATTCTTGGTCATATGGCTTCTTATGGAGTTCGTCACCTTTGATGGGAATAATTCAAGCATGTATAGCTCAGAACTGCCCCCTAAAAATATTCCAGTGGTTCAAAGAATAAAAACATCACAGAATCAGTTAGGCTGGAAAATACTTCTAACGTTGAGTCCCACCTTTGACTGAGCACCACCTTGTGAACCTAGTGCCACGTCCAGTGTTTCCTTAAACACCTCCAGGGATGGTGACTCCATCACCTCCCTGTGCCCTCATTCCTATGCCTAATCACCCTTTCTGTGAAGAAATTCCTCCTAATGTCTAACCTGAATCTCCCCAGCTGCAGCTTGAGGCTATAAAAAGGAATGTGGGAGAATCAATTTTTAAAACAGGAAAAACACCTGCTGTATGGTTTTTAGGCACTGAAAGATTGGTATAATGGGTATAAACGACAAAGGAAATGCTTAGCAGCCAAGAAAGCCAGAATTCAAACAGAATAACAGTAATGGGAATATCTAGACAAAAACAAATGTGAGAAGTATTAAAAAATTTCCATGAATTGGTTCATTGGAAAATACTGAATGACTGAAGAAAAATTACTAAATTAAAAAGCTAGGGAAAATTAATCATTGTGTAACAATTCTGCATGAGATGCCGTTAAGCCTATGTGAAATAAGAAAGTATCCAATCACTTCTCTCATTTTTACTTTTGGTACTTGAGAGATGTTTTCTCTGAAGGTTAGCAAATTGTAGCTATGTGTTAAAAGAAAATTTCACAATTCTCCTCATGAAAGCGACATGAATGGACAAGTACTATTTTATAAAATATTTACAATGCAGCTCACATGATATCAGGGCACTGAAAGACTGACAATAATCAAGAATGTGCAGTGAAAACGTGAATACTGAAATTCAGAGGAGCTGTACTTTGCAGCACTCTTCCTCTCAAAGAACCTCCCTTTGAAGTTGATCAGTACTCTGCTCCTCAGAGGAGTTTGGGATGCTGTTGTTGGCACCCACATCACAAGTGATGAAAAATGTTTGCTTAAGTGGCCATCAGTATTTGTGTCGAATTCTTAATCTTTGCCTTTGATAGTGTTCAACAGCTATCCATAGCAAGAACATAGAAGTTCGTTCAGATTTCCCTCAAGGAATGTGAAATACTCTGAACTCCATGAGGCTGTAATGAGATGGAAAACTTCTGCAAGTTTCAGTGGTTTTAGGCCATGAATCATATGTGGTGCCATGGCTCAGGTAGAAGTATACTTTTCCTTTGTCATAAATAAGAGACATGCCTTTTCTCTGTTGTATTTGCTTTCTCTCTAATGCATGTTCTACTTTCTGTGGTACTGTCAAAAATATTATGATATAATATTGTAGGAGAGTAAGTAATTCACTCATCTGGGATATGGAAATCCTGTTAATTTTAGAAGGTGCATTTAATAAAATTGCATCATTGGCAGAGACTTTCATATTATACTGTGTTTATTAGAGAAAATCTCTTTGCATTAGGTTCAAAGCCAGAAATTGATTTCCAAAGGAGCTGAATGCTTAGGTTGCTTAGATATTTTGAAAATCCCACTAGGTCTCTGCAGCTTTTTGGCACATAAATACCCTTGAAAATCTGGCTTAAGAGTTATAACAGTAACACAAAGGAATAAAAACTCGTTATTCAAGCCAGAAGGATTTTACTGGCACTGAGCATATCGATGTTACACTGGGGAAAATTATATTTACATGTTTTAGGGCACTGAATTAATTATAACATAAAATAAAACTTTGTTTAACATATGTAAAGAATCTGTTCTCCAATACATTATTCCTTGTAGGGACTGAGATAAAGTGTTCTACCAAGTCTAGGAAAGCTATAAACAGGGAAGTGACCAATGTTCAGTGGTTGGTTAGTAGTCTGGAAAAAAGACATGGAACAACCAAAACAGATTGCTCAGCCTTAATGCCAGATCCATTCCTATTTTTTTTATTTTTGCTTCCATGCTGCTATTCTTTTGCTTAAGCCTCTTGAAGTCAGCTTGTCCATTTTCCAGGTCCTATGAAAATATCTCGTATAATTTCAAAATAAGCTTCAAATGATTTATTTTGACAATTTTGATGTTATAAATCCAAAAGAGGAATAGATATTTTGGCTTCTGGGTTATCCCTAGGCAAGGGAAGAAATTAATCTAGTCTAATCTATATACTGCACTATGTATATATTTTTTCATGGCCTCAGGAAGACCCCAGAGCTGAAAGCTCTATATTAATTTTTAGATGGTTAGTTTCTATTCAGATGAAAAATATTTCTTTATATCTGCAATAATACTGTTGAAGCCGCAAGAGCTATAGGGCTCAGAAGATGTCTGCAATACTTTTGCAATTTAATTTTAAACTCAGGGCCATAACTGCAGGAAGCGGGTTTTGACTAATTTTCCTGAAACTCAGCTTGAATATCCACCTGTGATAAAAGAACTGAAAATATAATTGATGGATCTGACTTAGGAATTTTCCCACCTTGCTTGCCCATGAGAACATGAGCAATGAGAACTGTAACATAACATTTCTGATGTGTTGTGAGGGACTGGTACAATCCAAATTCTCTGCTATGTTAAAAATAAAACTCCAGCTTGACATGGGAGTAGGAGTATTCACCACTGAAGTAGACTTGTGCTGAAGCAGATGCACAGGCTATAAACCTGGTTCATGGTGCTCACCTTGCTCTAATAGAAATCCAGGGAGATACAGAACTGCATCCAATGTGACACTGGCAAAAACTTTGGTGTAGTTCTGCAATGAGCAGTACCCTCTCCTCCAGAGGAGGAATGTAAATAGCCTCCATAATGTCCTCTGTAGCTGTTTGGAGGTCACTGGGTGCTTAAACGCAAAAAGGTTGAACTGAGCCATTCAATTAGCTGAAGACCTGGTTGAAATTTTGAGATGATTTGGCTGATCAATTTTATCTGGATAATCTTTGTAGGCAATGGCTGTTTTAAGGAATGAAATAATTTTTGCACCTGTCTGGAGTATTTCTATTGAAGAAGTCCCAGCTGGCAGAGACCCAGTGATGTTTCTGCTTGTGTAGCACCTGGTTTTGATTTCAGAGGGGAAACAAGAAAATTACTTCAATGGGTGGTGACATTAAATACAGCTGTTGCCTGGCAGAAAGCATGTTAGCTCTGTTTTACCCAAGTGAGAGCATTTCTACCTTGCATCATGGATAGGTTCAAAGCTCCAGCTGTAATCTCCCAGAGGAAGAGACAGAAAGGGTTGCATTCCCCCAAACTTTCCTGCAGTTATGAAATAAAGTTCAGTAACTTTGTCATTTTTATTATGCAGAGGAAGATGGGGCTGACCAGAAGGATGTTTTTGATGGAACTGGGAAGAAGAAAAGGTTTCAGAGTAGAAAGTGAGCTAAGGTAGGAAGATGTTTATATGTTTTGAAATAACATTAATGCTATTTTAATTCAATATAGTCATACAAGTGACTGATTGAAGCTTTTGCCTAAGGTTTTGGTAGTTATACTTGACTCTTTCCATTATAAATATGTTTCAAGGGTTCAGTGGGTGTTCCTATTATGTGGTTTATTTCAATTATCTTCTGGACAGAAAGCAGGGAAAGCACAAACTTAGCAAAATTTCTAATTTTTCACTTTTAAAATGTGCATTTCTAATTTATCTTAGATCTGTCAATTTTCATGGGTCTGCATATAAATTGTGTATTTAGCTCATCTGAATCACTCATTGTTTATTTCCTCTTTGAAGTCAGGTTAAGATTAAGCTAAATTTAGTGGCCAATTTTGAAAACGAAAAAGGTTAAATGTACAGGAATGGAAATGTGATGGGTTGAGAGGGACATTTGTCTACATCATCTCTGGTATTATAGTATTTTACTTTTATACCCTAATGTGAGTATCAAAGTTATGGCTTCTGCTTTGGTACAATCTGGAAGAGCACTGGAGAAAAATCTTAGGAGTAAAATACCACAGATGTGGCATTTGAGAGTGCAACTCACTCCAGATTCAGGTTTGTCTGCTTTCAGCAAACAACCTCATTCAGAGGGAAGCCTTCCTCCAAACAGGGCTTTACATAAGTGCTGGTTATGTCATTATGCAGTTTTCCAAAAGCTGCATCATTATATAGGTTCTCTGAAAAGCTGGAGGAAAACCAAGTATTGATCTCGTCTCTGGATCTGTCTCTGGAGTGTACAACCCTACAAAAGTGTATTTCTACAGACTTCTTTTCAATCCCATCAACTTTGAAAATCTGAGGAAGAAGGGAGGGTAAAATAATTTATAAAGCAAGATTAAATCAGGTATTGAACAGAAGCAAGTAATTAGCATCTGATAGAAAACTGAGTTCTTGGGGAAAAAAGAAATTAAGAGTGCTGTTCTGGATCCTACGTTAATAATCTGTAGAGTAAATGCTTTATCTGGGCTGCTTTGACACACACATATTTATTGCCAGTATTTTAGATTTTCTGTAAGTTTTATGAGGCAGGTGTTATGTTTAATTTCAGCTTAGCTGCTACTGGATAAAACAAAACTATTTAACTGTTGATTTTTGCTTTTGAAAATGACAGAGGAAACGTTAAATTTGTTATGTTCTGTGCCAAGAAAATAGCACAGCTGTACAGGTATGAGAGGAAACTGGAGCACAGCAGCTAAACTGCTGCTGTGTGCATAGTTATGGCAAAGTTCCCAGCTTTGCAGCTTGGTACAAATACATGACATATGAATATTTTATATGAAGTGAAATAAACCACAGGAAGCAGAAGTTCTATGTCTCTAACTGTTAGGTTTTTTTTAACTCAAGTATAAAGATGTGACAGTTTAATTAAATAATTAAATTATTTAATTATTTAAATTAGAGTTAAATAATAATAAACCCAACAGTGTTTCATGGGGATTCACTTAATATGTGTTTTGTAATCTTTTAGAAAAAAATAAATTGGGATTTATTCTTTTTCAATGGACTCTGCTCTCCAAGTTCCACCATATGGAGAAAAAAAATTGTGCTATAGCATGACACACATTTCTGATGTACAGTCCTTTCAGTACCTTTCTTATAGTTCCAAAATACAGTATGTTTATTGCATTGGAGAGTTATTTGATAACAATTTTCTATGGAGCAATTCCAATATTTGTCATTGTGATTTCATGACTTAATGAAATTATGATCACTCATTTGAATAAGGATCACAGAGATAGGCCAAGGGATTTTCTTGGTTTTCTGGAAGGTAATTTGCTTTGAAGTGTGCAGTCTGCCTTTAACAGCAGGAACATGTTTTGAAGTCCATGCTAACCAGTGATTGCCACCAGTGGTGGTGTCCTCTCTGCTTTGACAGGCTGATGGCTCCACTTCTCCAGGTGTTACAGAGGGCTTGCAGAGCAATCTGTCAGGTCCTCCATTGGAAATTTACTGTATATGGCTGTCACCATCGTGGGCTACCAGAAAGTCACAGACTTTCAAATGGATTTGGCTGCCGTTAAGACAATTTATGTTCTAAGTCTTGCTTCCTTTTGTAAAAATAGTGTCAAATAGTGACACTGCCTGTCTGTGCCTTACCTGCAAGGAGTTTAGGAATCTGTTGCCCGATAGAAATGAATGTTGGACTATATTATCTAGTTACTTAATTCTACAAGTTGATGGAAATGAAGAATTTTCTTCTTTCTCTCATGTTTTGTTGTGGGGGTGACAGCATCCTTGTGGGATGCGTAGGGAGCAGGAGCATTCAGAATCATTCAGAATTTCCTACCAAATCTGTATTTTTTCCAAACTTGCTGAGAAACATCAGCAGGCCAGACAGAAACTTACAGATCATCCTAAGTATGCAGGTAATCTTTTCTTGAAACACAGCTTTGTCCCTGTCCATTATTTTCCTGTGATGTGTACAGAAGTGTCTCTTTCTAATCTTTAAAAGGATCACCTTTTAATCAGGTGATCCTTTCCAATGTTGTTCTTGTACAACAACTGAAATTTACTGCAATAGCATTTTGTGCTATTGTATTTTTAGGCAATGTACACCATATAATGTATTGAATAACAATTCAAGCTATAAATTTTGTATTCACTAAACCATCAGTTTTGTTATACTGGCTTAGCAGCAAGGAAATGGTCTTTATATGGAGCATGTAGTTCATAAGATTTAATTCATGAATATTTGGCAATGCCATGTGTAATAAACGGCTTCATACAAGTACAGAAAACTTAAGTATCCTAATAGATATTACTAGCTGGAAAGTTTTAAATAATTATTGTTAACTGACTTGTTAATGTTGCAAAGCTTTAACTCGTTGATAAGGAGTATTGGGAAGAGGCTGTCAGGTGTTGTCAAGCAGGTTTTTAATTATGGTACTGCTTGTGTAAGCAAAATATTTTCAGAATTGCAAAGAATGTGTATTAGGTTAGTGTCTATGGAAGGTAAATGATCCTTCAAGAAAGAAAATGCTGCACTTACAGGAGCTGTCAGACTACAGTCTTTCCTCAAGGCAGAGTCAGTGACTAGAATAAATGTATGGTGATATGAAAACTCCAGTGCTCCCACATCCTAAAGTACAATATACGCTACAATTGTCAGGAAGTGTATGGTAAGTAAATACAGAAATAACAGCTTTGTATCTGTGTACAGTTGGATTCAGTGAAAAAAAAAAAGAAAACTTTTTGTACATTTCTTGACAGTGATTCTGTCACTCATATTGTGGCTGAGAACAACTCTTACCTGGAGGTGCTGGACTGGCTGAAGGGACAGGCTGTGGGTGACAGCTCTAGGTTTGAGCTACTGGACATCTCCTGGTTCACAGCCTGCATGGAGGCAGGAAGACCAGTTGATTCAGAAGTGAAGTATCGTCTCATGGTAAGACAGATCCTGCAGTGTGAATGCAGTGATAGCCAGAATGAATGGCTGTGATTTTATTTATTTTTTTAACTGAATATAGATGTAATTGTGTTATGTTATTATTTTAATTTTTTTTCTGTAAAATTTATGAGTAATTCACACAGATTCAATAGAGTAGAAACACCTTCTTCACCTTCTTTATCAGTATCTGGTAATGCTGAGTTACTGTTTCATCAAAAGGTACAAACTGGTACATACAGAATCACAGAATGGTTTGGGCTGGAAGGGACCTTAGAGATCATCCAGCTCCCACTTCCTTGCCATGGACAGGGATACCTTCCCCTAGATCAGGTTGCTCAAAGTCCCATTCAACCTGGCCTTGAACACTTCCAGGGACAGGACAGCCACAGCTTCTCTGGGCAACCTGTTCTAGTGCCTCAACACCCTCACAGAAAAGAATTTCTTCTGTGTATCTAATTCAAATTTCTCATCTGCCAGTGTAAAGCCATTACACCCTGTCTTGTCACTGTCCCTTTGTAAGAAGTTCTCTCTCCAGCTCTCTAGCAGCCCCTTAAATTGTTGGAAGGCTGCTGTTAGGTCTTCCTGGAGCCTTAAGGTCCTGAACAGCCCCATCTCCTCTGCAATATCCATCAGTGAGGCACTTGTTGCTGTTCTGTTACTTGTGGTATTTGCTCAAATACATCAATATCATGGTAAATATCCCAGGGAAAGCAGGGCACTTCAATGGGCTGTTGATGGCATTTTTGGCCTCCTCAAAACAATGCAAAAATATTACAACTTTTGCTGTTGCGGGTGATCAGGTAACAGCTGGGCCCTTGAAGGACCTGTGAAAAGAAGACTGATGTAGTCTGTGGACAAGTGTTTACAGACTTGGCACCATCAAGTAATTGTGCTAAGTTTTATTATATTCTCTTATCTCTCAGTGGAAGCTGTAAGTCAGAGGATGTTGAGAATGGCAGGTTGATGATTTGATGTATGATGTTTGACCTTGAAGCAATGGATGATTGTTTTCTATATCTATCTATATCTGACAAATTACCTGCTAATTTCTCAGATTGGAGCGTAGTGAGGAGCAGTGGTACTCAACATCTTGGCACAGACTCTGAGTGGTGGGGGTTTGGTGGGGATGCCAGGCGTGCTGTGCCCAGCTTGTGCCACTGAGCCATGAAATGGCCCAGCAGTGCAGCTAGAATGAAGCTGTCCCCTCCTTCTGCACCCGTCCGAGCCTCATGGTGAAGGGTTTCGTGTGCGCCAGCAAAGAAATTTATTCATATGTGAAGAGAGCTACAAGTCTGATCTAAAGCTCTCTAAAGTAACGTGAAGGATTCCTGCTGATTCCTGAGGGTCTGGATTAGGCTCTGTGTGACCACGCTGGCACCAGGGTAGGATGTGCAGCATGTGACCTCCTCTGAGGCACAGAATGCCTGAATATTTAACAGCAACATTGCTCTGTTTGCTGCTTCATCATTTTGGTATTTAGATTATGAAGGGTGATTCATAAATACCATCCTTTCCCAAGAAAAAAACCGTAGCTGATTATTTTTTTTCCCAGTCATATTGCATTTTCCTTGCCAGAAAATATTTTCCAGGTTTTTACATACAAGAATTACTGTTTAATAACAGTTTGGGTTGGGGGGAGGGGGAAGTGAATACACCAGATGGAGCTGTCGCTCTCAGGCTCAGCATGATTCCATGACAGAATGTGTGTTTATATTTGAATTCCTTCCAAGGATATATTTTTGCAATAAATTTATAACATTTTTCAGTGAATCTGCTGGAGGGAGAATAGACAAAGGAAATTAATAAGAAAAGAAAAAATACAAAAGGAAGCCTTGTAACTACTGCTTTATTTTATGTTACGGGCCATAAAAATATAAATACAGGGAATGCAGAGAAGTTCTCTAAACAAGTAATGCATCAAAACCATGAACAAAATCCTGTGAGCCTTCCTGAGAGTTTCACATCAGCATTAAAAGCAAAACAAATTACCTTTTATGTGCATTCTTAATTTTGGCAATATGAGCACACCTATAGATTCAGATAGCTCAGAAAATGTGATTTCATATTTTTTTTTCTTTTCAAGGCTAGAAACACCTTTTCCTCCTAAATTCCTCCAATTTTTTTTAAAATCAATGACAAGTTTTTTTTAGGTCAATGAAACTGCCTTAGTTTTATATAAAATTCCTTTTGGAATATTGGTGTAGCATAAACTTCCGAATAAGGTATCAGCACTGTCAGGAGATTGTAATTATACTGTGAGACTGGCTCTGCAAGTAAAAGCTTATGTTTTTATTGAAACATAAAGATTTCATGCTAATAAATGCAGAGCACAGTAAGGAAGCCACTGACAGCTATACTAGTATTTTTAAAGCTTATAAAACCAATCTTAATTATATAGTTGCTCTGAAGTAATAAACATTTTGTAAAGAAAACGAGGAGAAAAGAAGAATTCTAGGAGTGTAGCAAATTTTAAGATAATTTTATTGTTGCAGTGTCACCATGCTAATTCTTTTTTCTGCCTTGAGAAATGAGGAAAGATTGAAGTAAAGGTTAATTTTCTTTTTAAGTACTAGACCGAACTCATACATAATGTAATTTAATTGGAATTTCACTGAAGACAAATTTGGTTCGTTATGTCAGACTTGTAAAATGTGAAATGAAAGTGAATTAACAAACCTTGAACTCAAGCTAGATCATTAAGGTTTTGAAGTAAAAAGAATGGATTGCAATGGGGAATGTTTTGGGTGAAATCTTGTCGCCATGTAGTTTTGTGGTCAAATTTCCATTAATATCAATAGCAGTAAGATTTCATCTTTCAGACCCTGCAGTAGCCTATTTGGAAGGTTTTTCCTCATTCAGGACATTTGTTTTACTACATTAGTAAAAAGAAATGCCCTTCTTCATGCAAAACAAGGGGAATAAAGTCAGAGTTACAGACCATTAGCTAACATCCTAATTACAATTGTCATTAAAGTACATCTTTCTGTGGTAGCGATGATCCAAGAGATGGTAGCTCTGATGTCAGTGATTTATAGAGAATGAAAGGATGGTTGACCAGATTTGAGATGGACAGAATTATTATTGATTCATTCAGTCACACTTGACTTTTAGGGTTAGTAGCCATCATTTAGTTTAATTTTAAGCTTTGGAAATATGGTAGCCAAATGTCTGCTTTGAGAGAGAAGCAGAATATTTCTGTGGCAAAGGTCAGCCGTTGTGCAGAGACACCTTTCCTAGCACAAGCAGGAGGGTATCCTTGACAATAGCAGGACATGGACATTAATGGGTACAAAGGGCATCCCCACATGCCAGAAACTACTGATGCTTCCTGGGTTGTGGAAGAGAAAGAGGCAGAGGGGAGGTGTTCAGAGAGGTAAAAAGAGAGGAAGAGGTCCTTAAGGGTTGCTGCACACTCAGCAGCCTTGAGAACTGTGCTGTGATTGAATCTCTTCTGCCTTTTCCTCAGTCAGAACCCAGAAGTTGTTAGTTAATTAGTTTTTTGTTTGTTTGTTTTTGTTAGTTTGTTTTTTTCCTAGAAAGGAAAAGAGATTTATTTCTTTGAAGAAAGGATTTTCCTCCACATTAGGGAAAGAAAGTACCATCTTTTGATCTTTTGTTTTATCATGTGTCAGGAAACATATTTAACATTTTCTGGAGCATCTCGCTCTGTTTCATTGTGAAAGAGAGAGGCCGTAAGTAATGGAAGAAATCCTTCATCCTGACAGTCTGAGTTTCTCAGGAAATAAAAATGAAACCTATAAACTGTCTGCCTTCTCTTCATAAAATTCTGGATATCAGAGGACTTTATTATTTGGTCAATGCTGCCAGGGTTTTACAGAGCTGCTGGCTGCTTGTCTGTGCACTTCATTCACTGCTGCTTCATTTTCTCCCTGTTATTTCCCTGTGTCATTAAACTTCTTGGTGTGTTAAAAAATAATTTGACAAAGAGCAAAGTAGTCCCCCGCAATATTAATTCTGCAACCAAGTCTGTCTGCTTTACAAATTGATGCTAGAGGTAAAGGCTGTTTCTCCTGCTTATGCCATGTGGAAAATGTCACTGTGAACGAGTAGCAAGTGACATTCACTGCAGCCTGGATGTAGGGTAGAAACTCTGACTAGTTCTAGTGATTAAGTAGCCTACGCATTTAGGTATTTTTCAGTGGTTGCCCCTGTGCAGTGTACTGCAAATTCATTTTAATGTAGAGTTACCTAAAAAAATAAAGGATTTATTTAATGCTTGTATTTTCCTTTTTTATATTTTTCTCTTATCTTTAGTTGTTTCTTCCCAGTATTAAAAATTATTTTTGGTCTAATGAGTTTCCAGGATTCCTTGTCCTACACTGTAATTGCTATTGATGGAAGTTTAGGTTTGTCCTGTAATCTGTACAGACAATTTTTTTCTCATCCAGTTTTCCCACCAAATACCAATTTGAGGAGTATCAATTCAACTCATGTCCTGCTGCTGATAGATCATTTGTATAGTTCACATGCAGGCATTATAATATTCCCTGCAAATCTGACTGTAGTAATCATTGTTTGCCAGATGGTTTTCCTGTTAATTTCTCTCCAGAATTTCTTCTGTTCTTAAATATAATGAAGGCCAGTTAACTAAATGCATCGCTCTTACTGATTAAAGAAAATGCTCAAATATCTCTACTAATGCAGGAATAAGATGTTTGTGCCCAGTCTATCACACTCTTAAATGCACAGATTTTCTGCATTAGTTTTGCCCTCCTCCACAGTAGCAGCTGATGCTGCATGTAGGGCTCTTGTTCTTTGTGTGTCTGTGTCCTAGAGAAGGTAACAGCTTATTATATATTCTGTTCAGTAGCATTCTGTTTGTTCACAGTCTTTGCAGCTGGCACTATCATTTCAAGCAGTATATTAGCACTAATCAATCATAGTTTATATGATTTAAAATCAATTTTAAAATATAATTCATGAATGCGTGCAGAAGTGGATGAGTTGTGTTGCTGTCCTGACTGAAACCCATTTTGATTATTCCGAAGACTGGTCTTACACATAAAATTGCTTTCTTCCTTTCAGGGCATGCTATGAAAACCACCAAATAATTCACTGCTACTTCAGTTGTGCAAGCAAATACCTTTTGTGTGTGTGAATACTGTTCTTGAACTACTTTGTATCAAATACAAAGGCAATTTAGCATGAAATGATAATTGGGGATGTGGTTGTGAAGATACACACATGCTTGTAGGTTTGCTAGCCTTTGTGTGATTGGATACAGGGAAAAAATTCTGGTTTTGGTGTGAAAATTCTTTTATGTATTTTCATGACATTTTTTATTGTAATTGTTGAACTCTTTTCCGTGTGGCCTTTGGATAGTGCAATGGAATAAGTTTTTGACACATCTGCCAAAAATTTTCAAGCAGAAGGACCAAGACCAAAAAATACAGAGAACTGTTGCAGGTACTTCATGTTTCTGAAGTATTTCAGATTTGGCACATCAAAGAAAGTGAAAGAATTGAAGGACTGGATATATAAAGCAGCAGAAAACCAGTGTGAGTTTGCCTTTTTATAGGTGCTTCCCAGTCAGGACATCCACATGCTGAGGACTTGTGCTCAGGATTCTCTTTTGCCAGTGGGGATGACTCTGAATCCTGCCTTTCAGGAGAATTCCTGTCTTTGAGGGGTGGATTGCCCACAGACCTGTACGACCTTGATCTATTTTGCATGGAGCAAAATTAGGTGAAAAGTGAATGAGCATGGAGGCAGCCTGGAGATTGGGAAATGCCCATTCAGGTCTTGGCATTTGTCTCCGTTTCCCTGCTTTGGTGAACATCACAAGATGATGTCTGGATTGGATCAGCATCTATGGGAATTGGCTAAGGGAGCAACCACATCACCAGCTGGCTGTTGAGTGAATAAAGGATGGTGATTACTCTTCTGTAGCTGTTTATAAATGTTTCCTTCACTCTAAAATGACTCCAAAATTAAACACTTAGCTGGATGAATTAAATCCAAAACAAAAAGTTTTCTATAATTTTACCTGCAAGAGGGGAGAAAACTTGATTTCTAATTCATACAAAAATTTTCCCCCCACTACTGAATTTAGCTACAGACAGAAAAAGTCAATAGAACATTTCCCGTTGGTCTAATATCCCTAATCTTGTATTGAATAATCTAATGTTTTCTGTGAAAACTCTGTGTTTTAGAGCTTCTCTGCTCTTAAAGTTTTGTAGTTTTTCAAACTTATTGCAGTAGTGAGAGTAGTAGAGACACACATCATTTAGAAAGACCATTTTTTAAAAAATGACAGTGCCATTGAAAACTCCCTGTAAGAACTTACTGCAGAAAAGCAAAAATCCCAGTAATCACCAGATAAACTGTACTGTCAGTCCAGCCAATGTGAAATCACCTGTTTTTCATAGCAGGATGACAGGAGCATTATTATTTTCTTGCCTGCTCTTCAAAGGTTTGTATTTTGGGCTCATGAAATGTACTTTTTTTTTTATTTTTAAGCTATTTGCCATGTGTGTCACTAACTCTTCTTTTTTTTTACCCTTGTTAGGAGCAATCCCAATCTCTTCCTCTGAATATGCCTGCATTGGAAATGCCAGCATTTATTGCAACAAAAGTATCTCAGTATTCGTGCCAGAGAAAGACAACTTTAAATAACTACAACAAGAAATTCACGGTAATGTTTATTCTATCTATAAAATAAAAACTGGTATAATTAGAATAATTACTATAATACTTGCCTCAGTGTTTTCTGTGGCACCCTCAGCAAATTCATGAGTAAACAGGCAGCATAATAACAATTTAAATAGTTATAAATCTGCCATACTTAAATTAAAATTGAGTGCAAGCTTACTTGCATCCTCTAAGTATTGCTGAAAGCTTAACACAGTGGATCTTTAAATACATTAACAGCTTGTAAACACATGAATTTTTAAAACAAATGATAGAATAACATTCCAAAAATGTCTTTTAGCCTTTCATCACAGTCTTATTTGACAAACTGGAAGTATGATAAACAAAGTGGGGTTTAGGTGAGTCCAAGGTTCTTCACAGTTGCTATGCTGCCTTTTGGTTTGCCCAAGTTCAGTTCTTCAAAGTGTGGTACTAAACTTCAGATTTTCACAACTGAGCAATTATGAAAACAGACTGCATGTTAATTACTTTAGCATCACAAAACCCCCTTTGAATTGTCTACTTAAATAGAAATCTTGGAGACTGTCATATATCCTAGTTAATGCCCATAACATTGCACATTTCCGAGGGTATGAAGGTCTGAGTCCTTGAGTCTAAACTCCTCTGGAGTTCTTGTGCTTAATGGCTCCTCCTGGCTCTAAATACTCAGTGACCACTACTCAAAAGAAAACATTTCTCAGAGACTCTAATGTATTGCAGTCTAAATATATCTGGCATAGTTACATGCATATGTTTCAACCATAACATCAAACACTTCCTCATTTTCCTAAAGCTTTATTATGTGTTTTGTTATTATTTATAATTTTTATGATTCTACTTGTGTGTTCCTGTAAATACATACAAATACTTCAAGAAAATATTATTTGTAAGGTTCATATAAAAAGAATAGCAGCAGATACCAGTTATTGGTGAATATAAACCCTTTACCAGGTAATTACTAAAACCTTTGGGTATTCAGAACTAAAGATAAACCTACAAGGAGCTCAAAAATATCTTGATCTGGGAATGCACAGTTAAAAATTAAACACCCTAAAATTTGACTTGTAGTTATGCTTTGAAAAAATCAGCAATTACATCAAATATATGCTACTATTTATGGTAGCCAAGTAGGTTAAACTGTTTGCTTATTTACAAAAAGCCCCCTTTGAGCAACATGATGGGAATTGAGTTTTAACCCTGTTTTGAGCCTGAGGTTGGGCTAGAGACCTCCTTAGGTCCCTTCCAACCCCAGGGTTACCAATATTCCCAAAACTGCTGCTTTTGAAATGGCTGCATTTCCTTACCTCCTGCTAGAAAAAAGGGCTGTGATTGCAACCATTTAACCTCTTGAAAGCAGCAGTTCTTTTTCACTGTTTATAAATATCAAATACAAGCTGCTGTAGGGGAAAATGTCACACCAAACATAGTACGACTGAAACATTATGTAAAATACCAAACTTCTTGAGAAATAGGAAGTAAGTGTCTTAGTTCTACACTTCCTGAAAAGAGTAGAATGTGCGACCTGGCTCTTTGATGAATTTTCTATATCACAACATTTTGTCAGACATTCTAAAGGTAAAGAATTAAAAGGGATGTGATGGATAATGGCAAAGGAAAATGTTTGCTCCCAGAAGGCACAAAGTTGTTGATTTAATTGTCATTAGCATTTAGACCACATTGTTAGAGTGGTTTCTGTTATACCTGTGTTTCACAGAGGCAGTCCCTAAATTACTTCCAGCTTTATCAATGCAGCAGTCTTAATGTCAAAGTACAGCTTGTGTTTGTTGAGTGAATTTAGCTGAACACATTAGAAGTAGGGCAGTTTGATGATGGGAGTATGGAGATTCCTTTCTGTTACCCTATTTATTAAACATTTCTGGGTAGACACTGCGTTTTGTGGCGACAAAAGTGTCAGTTTTTTGTCTTCAACATATTTTGAGAGTAACTTCTCAGGGTTCACGCTGTGTTTTGTTTCTGGAGGTGGAACTGAGTAAGTTTATGAATCTGTCTAGAATCAGCATCTTGACAGCTGTAATGGAACTCCTCAGGGCTGTTGCCCTTATTCCTCACAGCCAAAGCTGGCAATGACAGCTGAAGGGTTGGGTGTTTATGGGCTGCCAGAACTGGCCCATGCCTTGGAGAACTGCCAGTTAGTCTGCCTAATGTCACAGGAGCCTGATTTTTAGATTTGCTGTTGTTTTGTTGGCCTTGTATTAATCCTGTAATTCACATTCTCAAATAAAAGCATTCCTGCAGATTTCTCAGTGCAAGCACTTAGCAAATGCACTGAAGCATTGGTGTAATTCACTTGTGCATGCTGTGAGCAGCCAACCATTAAATGACAGATTTTCCTTGGGTCAATACCATACATCCTGAAAATTGGGTCCAAACCATCTTGAGTTATGTGTTGATGGTAGCATTTTGTTATAACAACCTTATTCTGTGGGCCAGGCTTGTTCCCTTTTCTTGCAGATTTTCTCTTTTCTTTGGTTAGCTTGTTTTCTGATCATGCCCATAACAGGGGTACAAACCTATTATTTGCTAATGTATCCTTCAATGAATTCCTGGATTCTTCCTTTTACTGGACTTTGCCCTGAGATGTTGTATCCAGTTCCCCTTTCAAATAAGTAGGGGTTGTGTTTGAGAAAGTGTGGTAATTACATTGGAACAGACACTAATAGGCAGCAATGTGGGTGCAGCAGGATTTATACATCCTGGTTTCTTGGGAGAGGCACTTTAGGGGACGTGATTTCTGAAGAAATTGATAATTAGTGACCCTTTTTAATCTTGAGTCCTGTTCTGCATAAATTTCATCATGAAAGACTAATTAAAAAAAGTAGCAGATATTTGATGACAGCTCTTGAAGAAAAACTGGTGGTTTAATATACTAGGTGCAATTTCAATGTTCAAATGTCTCATGTTTCCGGTCTGTTGTAATAACCAGAAAATAACTTGCAGAAAGTTAAAACAAACCAGTTTTACACATGGAAGAAGCTACCTAAGAGTTGACATAAATTGCAGATGTCAAGGTTTTGTTAGTGCATTCAGTATGGGGCAAGTCCTAGTCAAATAATTTATGAGCTATTGTGTAGTAAGGCTTGTGGTGTGAAGAACACACTAAGAATGTCAGATGCCAAGGAGTAGACAGTGGAACCATGGTTCAGTTGATGGGGTAGAGATGCAGCTGCTTCAGGCTCAGTCTCTGTGCAGTCTTTGGGTCCCAGTGTCCCCTGGCCTGGGGGCAGGCAGGCTGGGAACCCCTACTGGGGTTTTGCTGACCTGGCTGGTCCAGGAATGCCCCTGAACACATCACCCTACTCACAGGTGAGCTGTGGCTGCTCACATGGGCAAAGCTGCAGAACAAAAGAGCAGATCCTCTGAGTAGTGTCTGTACCTTAGCAAGTTTCCTTTATATTTGTCTTAAATATGAACGTTATTATGGAATATAATATTCCAGTATTGTTCTCTGGCTTATTTGTAGCTATCTTCTCTCTCCCACTGAAAATATACACTTGGAGACTGCATTGTGTTTTCTTGTGCTAAAATAAAAGGAGTAATTCTGCTGTGCCCAGGAGGGGATGTTGGATTTGAATACTAATATCAGACTGCAATAAAATTCAGAAAGACATTCTTCTGTGAGGAAAATACAATTTAATTCTTACAGAAGAAACTAATTAAGTCAGAGGCAAATGGTTCTGTGATTCTGAGGCTTATTGCTAATGCTACTGGATGTTACTTTGCTTTGGCTCTTACTCATGGTAATGAGAATGTGGATGTTTAGCACAGGAAAGATGCCTGGTTTCTTTCCACTACGTTAGAGAAAAATAAAAAAGAAATATTTCTTTCTTCTTTTGTATATTCCAAAGAATGTATCAATTATGCCAATGGCTCAAGCACTTATTATTATATTATTATTATGATGTTTTAAAACATACCTCAGAAGATCCTCATTTTCAGTTTATAATCTACTTGGGAGCTGTGTAGTAGAAAGCCACTAACTGAGTGGACACTCTTAATAACATGTAGTGTCCCACTGACACAGCCTCCTCCAGGAAAAATCTGCAGACTGCACCTATGAATTATGATGTGAATGTGTGCAAAGTGTATGTCTATTCAAAAATAATTGATTGTTTGGTCTAAGGAGTAAATATGTATTCAGATTTTTAAGATAAATGGGAAGGTGCTTTGTAAAATACAGAGTATAATGGCATCTTTACTTTTCAGCAGTTTAAATTTGTGTGATACATCAATCTATGTTGCTTTCTTTGACCATATTAATGTATGTAATATATATGTATTTTATATTTCTTATTACTCAGTGTATCTATCATGCAGGTCATTGTTTTGTGATTAACACTCTAATTGCATTTCTGTGCTGTGTCAGCAGACCTTTTTTCAAATTTGTATTGTTTTCTTTTATAATGTGGAATAATATAAAACTTCTCATGAATTCCTCTCTGTTTCAAGAAATGAACTTGTTATTGTTTCTTAATATGAGGAGCAACTGGAACTAATATGTTTATTTCTTGTAATGGTGTTTATGCAGGGACCCTGAGATCATGCACATTATGCTTTTGTTGTTACTTTCTCAGCTCCTTTGTTTTTCTAGCTGATGTAAAATAACATGATAAAATCTTAGGATCTGGGAAAGTGTTGGGCTTTTCAGTCCAGATACAAAACCAAAAAAATCAGACTGAACAAAAAGGAGTAATTTCATTTATTTGGAAGTAACTTTTGTCAATAATGCAAGTTGGCCTAAATTGCTTAATTCTTCTTGAAATAAGCACCTGAAGTATTTATTTTCTCTCTCTCAGCCTATACAAAGTTCATTCACATGCCAGATATCTCCTCCTACCAAAATGCAAAATTGACATTTACAGAGGTGGAAGAGAGAGGAAAATCATTTGAATGAAAGCTGCATTCTAAAACTTAGGTTGCTTTTGAATGATCATCAAACACTGATGATGCTGATGTAATGAGCAGTGGGACCTGTCCTTTGGATTTGCAACCTACTAAATAAACAAGTAGAAAAGAGTGACTGAGAGGGAAAACAATTTAACTCAAATTGCTGTTCTGAGTATAACAGGTTCTCAAACACATACAATGTAAGATTTTTGGGGGTTTTAGTCACAATTTGCTATTAAGCTCTTTGGCTCTTTTAGCTAATTTGTGCTGCAGTAATGTTTGCAGACTCAAGTAAGGTAGGAGCCTTTTTTATGAGAGATGCTGTACAAGCACATTGTGAAGGCATGCATGCCCTGGAGTGTTCACAGTCCTAATAGAGAGTGAATGGTAGGGAAACAATGGTAGGGAGGTGTGGAGCAGTTTTCCAAGCTGGCAGCAAAGTTGTGAGTGTAGGCATAGCTGTAAGACAAGTGCCCTCTCCATAAAGCTGTAATAAATTCTTTACAAAACAGATTAGATTTAAAATATGGGTTTTTTTTGTGTAATATTTATAATTTTTGTTCTAGCAGAGTCTTAAGCTGAGTTTATTAAAGACTGTTTTGTAAGTGGCAATGGACCAGCTCTGACATTGTTGTTGAGAATAGTATGAAATAACGCATGGGACCATTAATTTGTTTTGCTTTTCTGCATGACTTGTACTCTGATAATCAGGCTGAATGTTACTGGGTCAGCTGTTCAGCAGCCAGAAAGTAGCGTGGTCTTACTGATTATTTTTTTCTGAGAATCATTCTCATATATTATTTGAGAATCTTGCACATTTTGTTGGTTTCACAGGAGTGATTTTTAGTATTTATAGTATTTGAGTTTGCATTTTTTGCATATATAAGATGATTAATGGTAACTTTGATGATGAAACGAATGATATTTTTCTTGTTAGTTCTTAAATACCAGATATTAAATGAGAATCAGAATTCCTGTCTATATCTGTCACCTTTCTTATTTTTAACACAATTCAGCAAAATCTTAGTGGGTCTTGGATCTGATCCACTGGAATCTGGAAATGCATTTAAACCCCACATTTTTGCCTAATCCAAGTCTCACCAACAAACATTCCACAATTTCAGAGACAGAAGTAAAATTTTCAATAACCGAAGAACTGAAATGTAGCCCAGCTCTGTTGCATATTTAATTAGAGCAGACCCTGCAGAGTACTCTGAAGATAATGAAATTCTAATGTGCTGGAAATCTCTGGAAATTTAGTTTACTTTTAAATTGGTACTTTTTAAACAGGTAATCTGAATATTGATCTGATTGATAAAGTGAAGGTGAGGTGCTTCGTGTAAGACATCTAATAGTTTAGAATAAATGGTCAATAACTTTCCTTTTTATATCACCATAAGTTGACTTCACCAGAGATCCATTAGATTGTAGATTTTTATTAAATAATATTAAGTTTTTGTATGCTTTTCCCCTCTAGAATATTACTCAATATGAGCTATACTGTTTAATAGACAAGTCCAGTTGCTGTCTTTTTTTAATAAATAGTTGTTTTATTAAAAAGAATGTTAAAAGCAGTTTTATGTTAAAAGACACCTGTAATTAGTTGCAGCATTTGCAGGCAGTGTGGTTTTTTTGCACAGAGAATAATGAATATTCAATACTCTTTAATTGTTTATTTCAAACAGCTTAATGAGCTTCACAAAGGCAAGAAAACACTGAAAAATGTAAGCTAGAATCATAAAAATGCTTTGATTATATTTTCTCACTGACTATCAACAGCCTCTGAGTGAAATGCTTCATGTGATTGTGTTTTTCAGTAGTGATGGTGACACAGCTTTTCTGAGAGCTGCCCTCCTGGCAGTGGGAAGGGGCTGATGCCTCTGGGCAGCAGGGCTGGTGCTGGGATGTGCAGACACAATTATCACAGGGGCTGATTATTCAGTGTAGAACACTTCATGATTATTCAGTGTAGGACACTTCAGATGTGCATGAGAGAAGCTGCCTTTTGGGAGCGAGAAAAAACATTCCAGGACTTTTTGAGCACTCTAATCAAGAAGATGGTTTTGTAGCATTGGTTCCCTCTCAAAAGCTGATACTCTGCAGTGGCAAACAACAAAAAAATTCCTCTACACCTTTGTGTGGTCTGTTCCCTGCATTTAATTGCTAAAATCCTCTGCTGTTAATATAAATATTTTTTTATATATTCTGCGAGGGAGATAGACCTCATTTGGATAATTTAGGAAATAAAACAGCTATATGGACATTCCTCAGGTATTTTTGAGTGCAATGTTAAATAAATCAAACCATAAAGAGCTATAAAGAAAATGTGTTTCTATTTGCAAAGTTATACATCTGAAAAATGAAGAAAAGGAGAATTTGTTCCCTAAATTACCAAGTAGAAGAATGGCTACATGTTCAAAAAGATGCAGGTGGTTTCCAGTACTGCCACAGATTCCTATTTGGTTGTGTCTGAAAATGCAGATGTTACATGCTGATCTGCTGGATTACTTATGGTTGGGCATAATACTAAAAATCATGGCTCTATTTGACACCGATTTATAAGATCCACATAGAATATAGAAGGCAAACCTCACAAAACCTTTTCAAGCTTGGCTCTAAAATACTGTTTTTATGATACCTGGAAAACTTCAAGTTGGTAGAAAAACGATCTGCTTTTTTTTTAATGAACTATATCTTTTTTACGTAGTGAAAAGGAGTAATTCTTGAATTAGCATACAAAGTAACCTTTCTAAGGAGCATACTGAGTATTTTAAGCTTTTATTAAACTTTAACATTTTTTTTTTCCTCTACCTCACCCTGTCCCAGGATGCCTTTGAGGTAATGGCAGAAAATTATGAGTTCAAAGAAAATGAAATATTCTGCCTGGAATTTTTAAGGGCAGCTTCTTTGCTGAAATCTCTTCCATTTTCAGTAACAAGAATGAAAGATATCCAAGGGTTGCCCTGCGTGGGAGACCAAGTCAGAGATATCATTGAGGTAATGTACTTCTGAATTATCTGCCAATGGACTCTTTTACAGGTCAGCATTTACAGGTCAGAGGGAGGAGCACTGGCACATCCCTGTGTGTGTACAAACCTTCTGCATTTCCTGTAATAACAATGTGTTATCTATGCTTCTAAGAATGAAATGATTTTTGGAAACCTTTTGTGATAACACAAGGGTCAGTCATGGAACCCCCACTCTTAGGAATGAGGGTAACAAGTGAATAAATACAAGGGAATAAATAAAGCAGTATGAGCTTTGCATGTAATTTCTAAGGGCTCACTCTGATTCGATGCAACAGTTAAGCTGTTAATAGTTTTGTTCATGTGACTTCTGCCCTTGGCAACATCACTTCACTCACCTGAATGCTTTATTAGAAATATATTTTTTGTGGAAGTGGTAAATATTTTAGTACTTTAATGCTAAATCTTACCTTGCTAGGTTATAGCAAGTTATATATAGTTGTAGCAGAGCCTTTTAGCCCGGTGATGGATGAACTCTACATTCCTACTGGAACTTGGAGTATTCCCTGCATTTTTCTTTAGTTCTTAGCCTTTTCAGGACCCACATCTGAGTGCTGCTGTTCCAGCAGGCAGCTGCTCAGGGGTCACTGCTGAGTGCTGTGCTTTGCTCTGGGTCCTCATTTCCCCATTCCACCAGTTAAGAATGCACCCTCTGAAGTGCTTTCAGTACCTCTTGTGTTGGGGCTGGGATTGCAATCGGGATCCCACAAAAAATAGGATGGTTTTTAGGGGTGCTATTGGTGGTTTTCTTTGTTAGTTTTATTTTTAATTTTTATCAGAAAGACTAAAAGAAATGTACACTTCAGAAAAAAGGTATTTGTTCTTGCAATGGTCTTACTTTTGAGAGTAGAAAACGTAACCAAATAATGAAATCTAATTTTCAGGACAAGTCATTGATAACTTGTGATAAATAACTTCTTTCTGGCTGTGACTTTATGAGTAAATAAGTACTGTGAAATATATTCCATGGTCCCAGTTTCTACTTCATCCTTGAGTAAATTTTTGAGTAAGTAAGGACTGTGAAATTTATTCTGTGGTTCCAGTTTCTCCTTCATCCTTCAGCAATTTTCTTTCTTTAGAATTGTTGCAGAATTTGATCCTAAGGGAATAAAACAATATGCTTGCTAGGGGTTCTTTATTGATTAGTAAATATTGATACAACTTGATTTTAGATTGTTTCACTGAATCTTGTACTAAGGTCTTAAAATGGATTTTTAATTTTTTAAAATAAATAATATTTTTCTTTGTTTAGGAGATTATTGAGGAAGGAGAGAGTTCTAGAGTGAACGAAGTGTTAAATGATGAACGGTACAAGGCATTTAAGGTAAATCCTTTGAGTTTTGTTGCTGCTGTTAAAAATTTTCCTCCCTTTAGTAGAACTTGGACAAGGCCATCCATGTTATTATAAAGGGAAAACCAATATCAAGTACAAAGAAGGATAGGTCTTGAATAAAAAGAAAGGGATATTGAGAAACAGTGACAAGGAATAATGTGAAATATCTTTCTATTTTTAATTAATGTGATGTATACATAGTTGCTGTTAAGTAATATAATGCAACTTAAACTTTGCTGTAAGTTTAATGTGATGTTGGTTTCATTTTTGCCTCAGCTGTTTATACTTTTAAAATTACTTCATTTTATTCTGGAATTAAGAAAAAACCAGATGAAGAAGATGACTCAGATCTATTGTAATTCTCTTCTGTGTGAGGCAGGAGGACTGGAGCTGTTTCTTTCTTTAGGCACGTTGTAGAGCCATATTCACACAGCTTCATAGTTGCAGGGAATCTAAACCACATAAATACTGCTGTTCCCATTACTGAAATATTTATTGAATTCTCCATTGGAAGTATGCAAGATGAACAAACATTTTTAAAAATTTTATCTGCGTTTTTGCTGTCTATACTCGGTCTTCAGAAAAAATAAAACAGAGTAAGAATTGTTTAATTCTCCCTGTCATCACTCAGTTTTGCTTCAGCTATCCAAAGGTTCCTCCATTCTCTCTGACCTGCAATGGAAGGGTGCTCAGTGACAGCTGTTGATGCCATCTCTAGTGATATTCAAAAAGAGGTGTAAATTCACATGTATAGTAGGATTCCGGAAGCAGACTTCCTTATTAATGCATGATTGCATTACAGCATGATTGAGGAACGGCTATTAAATCTTCAGGGTTTAAGAAAATCTCTTGGAGATTAGAAAAAAACCTATTACAAGACAAATGATCTCAAATATGCTTTATAACTTGTTTCACATGCAAAATTACAACAAACTTAGCTGGCTCTACTTCTTAGCTGAGCATACATCTCAACATTTTGTCTAAAGTAGTTGTGACCAGTTGTTTCCACTGATTTTTAAATGAGATTCTAAGAAGAATCTCGTATTAGTGAATTCTTAGATTTTCCTGTTTAGCATAGTCCTGGTACCTGCTGCTTCACTTATCACAGCTTGAAACATCACTGCTGGCCCCAGGACCATGGTTATCAAATGACTGAATTAAATTATAGTCAATGTTTTAGGTGCAGGGGCATGAACTGACAGAGTCAGTTTGCTTTCTTACAGAAGTGGGTGCTGCAGAGAGTGAGTTTGTGTAATGGGTTTCACCAGCTGAAAAGAAATGGGCTCCCTGTTACTTGTGCTTCACGGCTGACAGCATCTCCAGCATCTAAAAACATGCTAAATAATAATGGATCTAAATACAGAAAGAAAAACCCACAATTTTGTTTTTTCCCCTAAAACTTTGGGTGCATAGAATCCTTTTTCTTTAGTCTTTGTCTCAGAATTAATTAAGTCTCGTAGAATCATTTAAAACCCAGTAATAGACCCTTTCGAAAATATTTCAGCACTAGCAAAAACATTAAGAGATAGCAATCTAAGTATTTAAAAAATTATATCCTTTTATAAGCACCCATGTTTCAGACAAAGAGTAGGTAATTTCATACATTATATACAAAATGTAGGGCAATTCCTATTTAATATTATCAATTATTTTAATTTTTCACTTTTTAAATCTTAATTATTTCAAAGGAATTAATATCTTCACAAAACCACAAAATAAAGCCAGGATGTTTGGGATTCAGAGATTGTAGATTCAACGGAAAAGAGCAGTTATTCATGTCTTACACAGCTACTCATTGAATTCCATAGAAGTACAATGCAAGGTGGAGAGCTCCAGCATTGACAAACTGAACATAAAGAAAGAACGTGCTTTTAGGCAAACATGAAAGCTTTCCCTCTTCTTTCATATGAGGTAGCAATCCAGTGAATCATGCTTACAGCTTCTGCTTTACATCCTTTTGTGGGTAATAACTTAGTGAACAATATGACTTTGTTATAGATGGAATATGACCACACAAAAATTTCTGGTGGACTGGAAGATTTTGGCGTGTTTTAGGCTTTTTTTTGTGTGTCACTTTTTTGGTTTGTTCAGGGATGTGTAGGTTTTTGGTTTTTATTCTGTTTTGTTTGTTTTGTTTGTTTGTTTATTTTGATTTTTTGCTTTTTTGGCTTTTTTTTGTTTGATTTTTTGGTTGGGTTTTTTTTGGCCTTTTTTTTTTTGTTTTGAGAGCTGGTAGTGCATATAGCACACGGCCATAATATCAGTCAAATTCTGAAGATAAAGTTGTGACATCTCTTGTTCTATCCCATCAGTGTCAGGCAATCGAGCTATCTAATGTCACTGTTTGATTTCTATTAAGAAATGGAGTAAAAATAAAGACTACCCTTATTTCAAACCTCAGTTAAAAGTGTACATTTTAGTAAATGATATAAAGGTGCTGGGACTACTGCTGTATTTTTGTTTGGATTTCATGTTAATGAGAACTGCCCATGTATAAAACCAGTTCTGTTGAATGTAGTCATGCTACAAGGGAAGGGAAGCTGAACCTGTAGGTTTGTATCACACTATTTGTCTTCAGTGTAGGCTTAACTCTGCCATTGCTTTCCCTGAGAGACCTTGTTGTTGCCTACTTATTATTAATTCACTGCTGCTTTAGAAAACAACCCTGAAATGTTTTTCTACTGACCTTAGCAATTCACTTCAGTCTTTGGAGTGGGAGTGAAGACATCTGAGAAATGGTACAGAATGGGTCTGCGAACTGTGGAAGAGGTAAAAGCTGACAAGACCCTGAAGCTGTCAAAAATGCAGAAAGCAGGTAAGGTGAGAGTGTCATGAAAACTTGTATCTCAGTGCTCTAAGAACTTGATAACAGAGTCACAGGGGAAGGAAAAGCTCATTTCTGTTCTCTTGCTGCAGTCTTGTGAATACTGAATTATTAGGTGAAAATATTTGGACCAGCTGAGCTCCTAATTAAAAATTGTGTCATTCAAAATATAGGAATATGCATATTTTTAAATTGCTTGCACAGATACCAAATGAAATCTCTTATACACAAAACTATTAATGATTCATTATTGCACAGGTTGCGAAAAAATTACAAAATTGGGAAAGCCCAGAACTACTTTTCAGAGGAGATCTGTCTCCCTCAAGGCAGCCCTAATTTACTGATAAATCTAGACTTGTAATAAAGTACTTAGTAAATTTTTTCTACAATCCTAGCACATCTTAGCTTTAAAATGTTAAACTTGATCACGAGTAATGTTTCTTCCCCATAGATTTTGTGTGTATGAACTGTTTCCCTAAATAAAGGAACTAATTTAAACAAAGAAATGAGTTACATTAAGGAAAACATATTCCATAATATGACATTAAAATAATGTGACTTTATTTTGCATTAAATTTGTCACCTCAGGCTCCCTTGGATTGAATTTCTTGTATTTGTGCTTCTTTGTCCCTCTTTATTTTACATGTCATATTCAAATGTGAAGCAAGCTGCCATACTGGGTACTTTCAACCCAAGCTCTATGATCAGAAATAAGATAGCTGGGATATTTCACATACTTCTGGGCTCTATACTTGTGTAGAACACCATTATTTTGGGAAGACTGCCTTTTGAAACAGTTCATACAAAAATGCCATTGATGGGAGATGATAGGGAAGTCAAAGTAATTTATAAATATTCAGGTCCTAAGAAAGTGGAGAATTGTTGTGATTGCTGTGTTGACAAATTACATGACAAATTGTAATACAACAAATTACATGACAAAAATACGCATAAACTCTAAGGACAAAGATGAGGGAAGAAAGAGGCTGCCTTTGCCCTGTGTTCCCTTGTACCCACACCACCTGTGATTTGGGCCTTGAATAATGCTGTGTATAATTTATTATTTCTGTGGGGTGATCAGCATTTTTCCCCTTTGATTTCTAGGGCTTCTCTACTATGAGGACCTTGTTAGCTGTGTGTCTAAGGCAGAAGCAGATGCAGTGAGCTTGATTGTCAAGAATACTGTGTGTACATTTCTACCAGATGCTTTAGTCACCATAACTGGTGGTTTCAGGAGGTGAGTGAAAAAAAATGAGGTCACTTGGCTGTTTTATGCAGGTGCATATAAAAGGATGTTTGTGTCTTGGAAAAATCAAAGAAGCTTTGTGGGAACGTATCAGAGTTTGTTTTCAACATTTTTGTGGGTTTGTTTGTTGGTTTGGTTGGTGTTTTTTTTTTTTTTGAACAGGAGAGCAGTTCTGTGACAGTCCCAGGTTCCTGCTTTTTGTTGCTGTAGATGGTTAGTTTTACTGCATCTGAATTCCCAAGACTGAGACTATTGTAAGGCCATGCTTGAAGGCAGGCTTAAGGCAGTCTTGGTTTGTACTGTTAGAACTATACTTGGAATAAACAGTTACTAAAATGACTATAAAGCACTGATTAAATTAAATATATATGAACATCTGTATAAATGGGATGATCTCAGAATTCTTTTCCTGGTTGATTTTTATTACAAATAATTTTGGTCTTGCTCTGCACAACCAAACCCTAAGCTGTTTTTCAGAAAAATCTATTCTTTCACCTCTTATTTGAGAGCTTTCTTACAGCCACACAACAGAGTACTGAGACTCGGAATGGTCTTCAGGAGTTCTGCTTTCTTTGCTCTATTCCCAGTCCCCCATTATGTCCTCCTTGTTCTACATGTTATGCTCTTAAACCAAAAAACTGTAGTCAGTTCTACCTCTTGCTGCTGAATTTCATACTTTCTAAGACTTTGAATATATTTTAAATATAAAAGTATCTTTGAAAGATACTTATTCTCATAAAACTCAAAATATATAATTCTGTGACTCTCATGCATCTAAAACTGATATGAGAGCAAAAGACAGAAGAATATTAATAATTAATGTATCACCTGTGTGTTTTAATATTGTAAACCTAGATAGGTCAGACTCAATCCAGTACTAAATTAAGACCTTTTATAATGTATAATTTCTACAGTTCAGCGATGGTGTTGAATATTTTTATCATCTTTGTCCCTTTTAATGATATTTATAATTATTCCTTGTATATCCCATATTTATTATGGGAATGTTAGTAGCCTCCAGCTACATAATTTCAATAAAACTGTGTGGTCAATAAGAAGCATTAGGCTAAGTAGGAACCCTGACCAGAGGTTTAGGAACAAGGTGAAATTTTATGTTCAAAACCTCAAATGTCGTCATTCTGTGAGTCTTTGTTTCAGGGACACGTGGTGTCTCTCAAGAGAGTCTCTGTTTAAGGGAATCTTTATTTAGAAGACTCTCCCCACTGATGCAAATCAGTCAGAGGCCTTGTGTTATTGGTAACTTGGATGTAATTGATTAACACATCTAGATGGGTCAGAGCTTTACGGGTTATTTACTGAAAAGTCCCGGTTTCTTCTGATGTAATGTAGTTGTGAGTTTTGTTGGTAGCATAGTTTGCAAAGTTTGACTTTTATCAAATTAAAGCCTTTAGTCTTGCTTATTGTCGTGGGGAGATATGATAGTCATTTTTTTTTTTATTAAGAATAAACTTCTGTATCTCTAAATGGGCGTAGCAAGGCAGAAGAGAAATGATTTAAGTACCTATTGATGCCTACTAGTGGGTAATTCTGTGTACTAATTACATGCCTTTAACTGTACAAGAATATATTGAACAATTGGTTTCAATATGTCAGTCCTAATGGTATTTTACCAGCCCATGGAAAAGAAATGCTGCAGTGCAGGATTTGCAGATAACTTGATGGATTGAGATCCCTCTTTCAGCCCCCTGTATTTTAATTGCTGAATTGCAATAGGTTTGACTACATCTGTTCTTTTTTGCCTGTCTCCTGTAGTGGAAATGCTCTTCAGCAAGAAGTTTGTGTAAGCTTAGTAGCTCACAGTTTTCAATTACCAAATTATTTTTTGTTCCTTTCATCTTTATATAAATATTTTCATAAAATAGGCAAGCTGTATAATTTAAACAATTCCCTCATTCTACACCCTGTACACTGCTGTTATAAGAGGAAAAGTAACTCATGATTGCTCTGAATGATATACCCAGCACCCAGATTTGCCTTGCTTTGTAGTCCTGTTTCATAGCTTGGGAAGAAATTAACGGTTGATTGTTTTCCTCCAGATTTTTGATTGTCATGAGTTTGATTGAAAGATTTTTGATTGAAAGTCATGAGTCCCATAAACCTTACTATGCAGCAGAACTGGAGGAATCAAAACAAGCAGAACTTCCATAGAGATCTGCAGCTATGGAGATTCAATAGAAGTGAAAGATGAAAGTAGAGATGAAAGTTACATTCTTTTCCCCAAATCTATTATATACACACATGGGTGCATATATTTGTTGGGTTACTAGATATTTTCCTTTAAATGTCAAGAAATCAGATGATGTAGAAATTCTTCAAATCAAAATTAAGAAGCATAGTACAAAAGTTAAAGTAACTGGTAGGTTTTGTTCTATTTTAAATCCCAGCAAACTTGTTAATGGACTTTTCTTTGGATTGATTAATCTTTCACCTTCTGTATGGCTTATTTTCCTAGTCTTGTAAAAAATAAAAGAAACATGATGGCAACGCTTCATATCTTTCTAATTTGAAATAATTCAGGAGCAGAAATTAATAAATTAATGAAGTCTAGGTAAGTTTATCCCTCATTCCTTTCCTATAGGAACTGCTGTAAAACATTCCTTGAATTTCAGTGGGTATAGTTTCAATTGAGATGTTGGGAGAGTTTTTCTTATTCTTTTTGTTTTTCTGTCAACCTTTTCCAACACTTATCTGGGTCATTTTGAAACAGAAATTGCAACATTGTAGTGCGTGGAAATACAGAAATAGAGGAATTGTAGTTATAAAATAAATCACACCCACATGGTGTGGAAGGTATTTCATTTTCTATTCAGGTAAGGTGTCAGGGAGGGTGACTGCAGAGGAAGAATCCAAGATGCTGATAGTGCAATATAAATCATGCCGTGGACAACGTTATTAGAAAGACTGAATTTGCAAAGTCTGTTTGAATTGGCATAGTATTATTTTCAGTGCCCAGCCTTTCTTATTTTGTGATTTAAGCTAATGAGATAAATACTAAGGTGGAGAATAGCATCTCATAGGTTACACAAGTCCCCGAGGGTGAAGTATCCTTCCTACATATCCCTTCCTACATAATCAGGGGCCATGGGATGGGGAGAAGAAACCCCTTATTCTAATAAGTAACATCCCTGATAAATAATGCACTTGTCCCAGCTATATCCAAGACAGGAGTGTAGTTTAGGCTAATGTGTGTTATCACTTTTAAATGAGTTAAATTGTGGACCTGACAACTGCTTTTTCCTGTGGATATTAAAAGAGTAATTTTATTCCATGAAAAGAATTAAGGACATTTCTGTAGTAACGGCATTAATTCATTTTGTGGGTATCACTGCATGTTACAGAATATTTTATTCCTATTAGCAGTATGTTAATGCCTTTAATAGTAATGCTAGCATTGTTGTAGGGTCATTAGTAATGACAAGGCACTGGAGCATTATGGTATTCTGTAAGATCCTGGGTTTTAGCTAACTTGATTTAGCTGCTGATACTTGGTTTTGCCCCAATATGTGATCTAAATTGTAGGTTTCATAAGAGCTTGGAGGAAACACTATAGCCTATATGTAGTTCATGAGTTCATGGTTTCAGTCTCTTTACTGGTTGTTCATATCTCAGTACTGATACCCACAGCCTCCAAATTTGGCTAGAGAAGTTCAGAAAAGGATCTGGAATAAGAATTACATACCATAATAAGAATATTATATATATATATAATATATAATATTATATATTATATATATATAATATAACTATGTTTTCAGAATGGTTTTCTGTGTGCCCTGTCCATATGATTCACAAATTATTTACAAATTAGGATTCAGTTTTATTGTGCTGGATGTAAGTTGTGGTTAGCTCTGTAGCAGTAGAGTTCTTTCTCTGTGTGAGGGCATGGTTGCCATATCATTTATAGGCGCTTATTTTTTAAAAAATTATTTAGAGATCCTCTTAGTATTATTTCACTTGTCACTTTCTGAAATATTTACTTAGACACACTCTTGTTGGCTTCTCCAACCTTAGCCTTTAGAGAAAGTGAAGTAGACTAAGGAGAGGTTTTGTTTTAGGTAATTTTTCATATTGCAGTTCTGAAGAAGCTGTTCAAGTGTCTTGGGCATTGCATCCTGAAGAATAACTAGTGTATCTTGTTTTATCTTTATGGGAGGTTAATTTTTCCATGCTGTATCAGTCTTTAAGGAAGTTTTATTGCCAGTCTCTCTTATTGTTAATTCTGTCCTAACATGAACCTGAGTGTAGATCACTATCTCCTTGCTTGAATTTTTTATTATCTTTTAGAAATGAGGATTTGATACTCTGTAACATTCGTAGATAAGAATTATTAATAGAAAAGCAATGATGAGAGCAAAGGACATGGTGACTGTGTTTGTCAGGCACCACTGCCATACTTTTGGAAATTACAATGCAAAAAAATCTTTCCTGTGTGCAGTGACATTTCCTACAAGGCAAAGGAATGCATAAAGTAATAACATGGGACAGGATTCTGCTCTTTCCTGTTCTGTACCAAGAAAATAATTTAAAGATATCTCTTCTTTCAGTCTTGGAGATAAGATGAAATAGCTGAGACAGAGAAACACTTTGAGAGATTATTTTACAGGTTCATGCAGTGATAAATAACCAAGGTTATTGTGGCACCTTTGTTTCAGAAATAAGACTTGTATATGGCATGTGGAATCACATTTATCTAACTGTGCTGGCACATGCTCATAAAGGAGAGACTGAGATTGAATGTCTGAAGAATATTACACTTTCCAGGCTTTGGAATATACACAAGACTTTGTGCTTTATTTAATCAAACTTGTCATGTGAATTCTGGCTGAAGTTCTTGATAAATCACAGAACATCTGATCACAAGTTCTGATCCTGATAAAAAGGTCCATTTGACCTTTTGATATTGGATATTCGTAATAACTTTTGGAGGCTGTAAATGTTCTGCAATGAGGTTAGAATTCCTGACATAACAC